CCGCTTATGACATTAAGTTATCTAAAATGCTAATCGTAAAAAGTGTGATAACTTTATTCTCTTATTTTGTCACTTTTTTTCCGTGTAATTATAAATTTAAATTGTAATTTTTATTTTAATGTTTATACCTAACATCTTTTACAAAAAATCGGGTTTTGATAGTTTAATACTTGAATATTTCTGAATTATATGTAAATTTTAATTTTGCTACAATTGTATTTATTATTTTAATTATTTATTGTGAATTTATATTTTTTCCATTCTATTGCCTTTCGGCTATTCTCATTTTATAGACGGATTTAAAAAAAAAACGACGCATTTTGTCGCACATGCAAACAACATACATATATATATATATATATGGCTGAGTAAAAACATAAATTTTTGTTTCACTAAAATTAAAAAATTTTTTTATTAATACTTGAATATTTCTGAATTATATGTAAATTTAATTTTGCTACAATTGTATTTATTATTTTATTATTTATTGTTAATTTATATTTTTTCCATTCTATTGCCTTTCGGCTATTCTCATTTTATAGACGGATTTAAAAAAAAAACGACGCATTTTGTCGCACATACAAACAACATACATATATATATATATAGTTGGCTGAGTAAAGAACATAAATTTTTGTTTCACTAAAATTAAAAAATTTTTTATTAATACTTGAATATTTCTGAATTATATGTAAATTTTAATTTTGCTACAATTGTATTTATTATTTTAATTATTTATTGTTAATTTATATTTTTTTCATTCTATTGCCTTTCGGCTATTCTCATTTTATAGACGGATTTAAAAAAAAAACGACGATATTTGAAAAGTCAAAAAAGTCGGTTTTGTAATCTGTTCATAGATGAATACGTTGAATGACTATAAGTATAACATATGGAAATTTATACTTTTATTATCCGGAAGTAAGATCTAAATATCTGTATGTATTTCGGGAGATTAGTCGCGTATTCGACTTTAAATAGAATCCATTAATGCAGAAATTGGATCGCGGTCTAAAATCTATCTAACTTGAAGTGTAGTTTTAGCAAAATATGAATATCCTCTCCAAATATACTCGGGCGCGAATCGCGTACGTATCAAGTCTCGATATTCGTTACACTGTTTGTTGACGAACCATGACAGGATCGACACATATATACGTACGTGTATATAAATACTCGTCGGACAACTCGAGTAATCACGTACGATACTCTAAATAAGCGCGAGTGCCGGCTTCGAGGCACGCGATTGTATTTTCGGAGCGCCTGTTAAATATTGAAATGCCGAAAGCGGAAGCGAGTCGCGTATTTCGGGAACGGAAGAGTGTTTTGAAGAGAGAGAATTTCTAAGATTTCCGATCCGCTGCGAGCTCGCGTGACTGCCTCCGCGATTTTGTCCTCTGGAATGTCGGCCGAGAAGAAGGAGGTGGATGTCGCGCGTTCCATAAATCCTTTATCGATTATAGCTTTGGGGACAAATACACTCGTGCTCGTTAACCTGTCCGAATAATGAACTTCCCTAGTATGACAGGAAATAACACGGTCGTTTGTCTGCGAGTGCGGCTCGTCGTAAGCGAGACACGCATGCGAGGGTGAAACTACCCTGGCTTTCCTCTCTCGGCATTGAAACTAAATGTCAATTTTATGCATGAGATGAAGAAAACATTTGTCTTCATGTTTCGCAGCCACTTTCCAACAATTCTGCGCGCTAAATAAGACTGCATTGAATCTTTGCTCTTACACGACGAAATCATTTATATAACTTATATATAGATTTTTTGCAATAAAGATGTTTAAAAGATAACATTTATTGGTTAATATGACATATAAAGAGTTATGTGTTTTTCTACGTTAATAAATTTCATGATTATTCGTAAATTAAATCAAGAAGCAACACAAATTATGTCTCGTATAAAATTGGTATAAATAATACATTCACTGTATACAGAAATTTCAGTCAAATGAAAAAATTTAAAATATATTTTTTACTTGTCGATTGGGAAAAACGTGCGGGCGCTTGCTTTGAAAATTCTAACATATATGCCGACTGGGAACATATGGCGTTCGTGGCTGGTTTACGAATGGTCGAATCACAATCTGCGAGGAGTGTAACGTATCGTGAGTCTGTAGTGGTAGAAGAAAAACGTGAATATCGAATAGCGTTCGTGAATTAGAAAACTTGCCAGTCTCGTTTTTGCAAAATCGATATAGATTTAGCGGTGCGTATTGCGCCTAAAATGATCAAGATCTTCTTGTTGGTTGGTAGAAAGCAATTTATATATTATTGGTTGAGAAGTAAATTTAAATATTGCATTTAAATGCAATTCAAAAAATAATATATATATATATATATATATAATATTTTGTATTGCATTTAAATTTGTATATATATATAAATGAAAAGTTTAAGAAGAAATGTATGTAAAGAGAAGTACCACTCTACTTCAACTTTATTTTTTATTTTTTGGGATATTGATTGACTTCTTCAATTTTAGAAAATTTTCATGCTTTATTTATATCAAAGTACCTCTCAAATTATTTGTTACAATTGAAATAACTAACACCGAAAATTGAAGTAACAATAATTTTCCAGAGTCGAGAAATACTGTTAATGCTATATTTATCTTTTCAAATAATAATCTTGTGTTTCATCGTTATGTACAACGATCCCCACACAATAATTATGCGAATATACAAAAGCCACTTCGGAATGTTTCTACTTCGACCATCCCAGGAGATCGCGGCGAATCGCGATACGAATAATATTCTGGCCGAATATTTATTGAACTGACAGGATCCAGCGAGATATCTCGGCGAAATATTATCATGCTCGTCCGACCATTGTTTCGTCTCGGGAATTCGTCGAATACTTTCGAATGTTTTCTCCGGTATCTCCCGCGCGATCGCGAATTTCCATCTTGCAGAGTCTTCCCGTTTACATGTATCTGTTTCGTCATTGATTCCCAGTGGCAACGCTCAATGTTCTCTCAATGCTCTTAGTTTTTCCGCGAGCCATTCTTCCCATCGCGTGCAAACTCCTTCTATTAACTTTTTTATCGTTATTTTTATTCGGTTCGTTCAAACTCTTGGATGCTTGGCTCTAATGGCGTTTCACAGTTCATTTATTACAGATATTTTGATGTTACAAAGAAGCAGTTTTTTAGCTGGGTATCTTTCATACTATAAAATTTCAGCTTTTAACTTATTTCGTTTTTAAAGAAGCATAGATCCTTCTTTATACATATATATTATCTTACATGTAATTAATCTTTACTTCTTCCTTAATTTTTTTAACTTTTATATTATTTATACAATTTATGTTTATATAATATTTTTGTATATCTATAATTGATTTATAAAAGAAAAAATAAAATATATTATAAGAAAGTGCATATAAGGACAGAGGGTTAAAAATGGATAAAAGTTTAAGTGAAGTATATTATCCTCACGCGTACACAATGTAATACCATATATCTTATACAATTCAATAAAAATGGATAATCAAGGTGCCAAGGGGTGTTAAGAAAAACTTGCACGTAATCTCGCAAAAAGCCCAACATTTTTTATTCAAGGAAACTAGTTAATACTACGTTAGGGGCACCTTGCGCATAGTTTTGGAACACGCTACAGTTACTCCCGTTTTCCGCTTTTGGCCTTAATTTCTCTCGCAAACGCATATGGTTTCGCAGGCTGTGGGTACAAGTGCCAAGAAAAAAATGTATAAAAAAAAAAATTTTTTTAAATTAATGAGAAAATATAATATTTTATATTGAAATAAAGAGATAGAGAGAAAAACGCGCGGAGGAAGAGAGAAAATAAAACTTTCACGGAAGGAAATAATGCGATTGTGGTGTATAAAAGGAATAAAAGTCGATCTTTGCAAACGGTTGCTTCAAGAAATGCTTCGTTTAACACAATTTCTTTAATTTGATTTTTTTTGTATCGTATTTGCTTTACAAAAATTTACTGTTATTTTATATTTATATCTACTGCGCATTTTACGAATTACGAGCGTAGTTCATAAATGAAAATGTCATTGGAGAGAATTTATTTAAAAGCACCGTAGAAATTACAATTTTCCGTTCGCATATTTTTGATCACGAATTAAATTCTTCAGGTCCGTTAGTACAATTTTTGATCGAAATTATTAGTTTGTGTTTGGCGACAACATGCGAATAAGCAAAGAGAATCAAATATGAAGCAGAAAGCAAAAAGCATGGATAAAATCGAATCGCTGGCGGGATAAAAAATCGATCAATTTCTTATGTTGTATATACATGTGTTGTACATTTCACAGAATGTTTTAGTATTTGATTATTGTTATTTTTTAGTTATAATAATATTTTCTTTGAAAATATTAAAATTTGGAAATTATATATAACGTTAAGAAGCTTAACATATGGAATATTATTGAATATTTTGAATAAAAGAAGTCAAATATATATAATGTACATTTTTGCATAGTCCCTATTATACAATAGGACACAATACTTCGCAATTTTCTTTTCAAACAATAGCATTATTTTATGCAGGGCAAATCACTTTTTGGGGTCATAGATTTGGATGCAAATAAAATATGTTCATTGTGTAAGTACACGGTAAAATTTTAAACGGTTAATATAATATTTTATTTGCATCCAAATTTGACTTAACTTAAAAAAATAACTTTTTTGGAATAAAAAGACTTCTGTAAGTTTGTGCCTATATTTATTTAGATATTTTGTAGACTTACGTATAAATATGATGAACAATTAATTGAATTAGTGCAATATTCTGTACTGTATGATTTATCACATTCGAAATGTATGGACACTTCTTTCATACTCATTTGTTTCCTCTTTAACCAAAATTATAGCAATTAATTCGTCCGTATAAACTAAACTATCTCGAAAAACACTGAATCCAAACTGTACGAATATGTATGTAAATATCACTGATGTCGCTGATACGTCATGGATATGTGTAAATAAACTTTTAATTTTCATATTTTTCTCATGTTTCAGATATTTCGAAAGAGATGTATGTCTAAAGAAAGGGCTCGAGTCTAACTACTCATCATGAGGATACTCTGGATCGTGGTGGGCATTTTATTCGAGATACACTTGTACTTTACAGGTGAGTTTGGTAATAAACTCTAAATGCGTAAACTTGCTATAAAATATTTGTAATATTTTCGTACTATTAATCATAGGCGAACAAAATTTAAAAAAACTCTTATTTTTTTATTTCCGATGAAAATTTAATTAAAACACATTAATCCGCGTTTCTAAAAAAAAAAAAAAAATAAATATAAAACAAATTTCACCAGAAAATATAAAATAATCCTTTCAACAAACAACACTTTTTAATTCTCAAAATGTTACTCTTATTTTACATTTCTAAATGATCTACATTCATAATTTTATTTAATAACAATAAATACTGCCCTTCAGTTTAATATCGTCCCTTCGATGACATTTTAGAAGCTCTATATGACTAGCGTTGGAAACTGAGGAAATGACATTTCTCGGCACCTCGCACGTTTTCGTCTCGCACAAATCACGCGTTTAAGTAGCGACTCTTCTCTTAGCCTAAATAATTTTGTTCGTAATTTTGCTACGCTTCTCTCTCGTCGACATTCGCATCACGGCGGCATACAATTTGCAACGGTAATGACGCTCTGCCGCCTGAAGAAACATAAGCGTTTTCCCTCTCGCGCGTTTACTCGCGGCACGCCACGTTCTTCCGCGCGAGTTATTTTCGTGCCGGCTTAAGGAAGAAATACTTAATTCGACGGCTGACATGTAATTTCCGGTTATCGCGTTACTGAAAACTCGCGGCGATGCTCTCGCCTCGTTAGCGTCGAACGTCTCTCGACGGGTGTTGAAACGGAGTCGATCACCGACCCCTATCGTTCCGTCTTATACACCTTGACGATTCTCTTCTCCGGAGGAGACGTTTCTCGGCGAGAAAGTCGTCGACGCTAATATTGTCGGCGCGACGGACGAATTCGTATAATGTCTTCTTCCCGAACGAGTCGCGATGCGGTACTGAAAATTTAGGTCGTCGTTGGCCGTAACACCTCCGAAGCTTTAGATCTAATTGAAAGTTTAATTAAATGCACACCGGCCCCCTATTACCAGGCCGTTTTACGATTCTCGATTCGGCAAACTTTCTGAAATTGTGCCAGATTAATCTCCGGTACGTGCTAGTACTAATCACTGGTAAATTCAATTTAGAAAATTGTGTCAGTTCCGCGAGAGGTTTTACACACACACACACACTCTCTCTTTTCTCTTGCTCTGTGTCGTCACTTAAGTCGAAGACAAGTGTCTCAGATTTTACAGGTTTATGTATAATAAATCATGTTCATTTCTCATTACGATATTCTGTTGTGCATAATTTTCGAAAAAGCTTCTCGCGCATGCCGTACAGCTATTTCAAATATTCATAGCTTATATTCAGAGATTTCATCATTGCAACGGAATAGTTTCGTATTTATGTACGTGGATAATTCTAGACATTTCATTTTCGGAAAAGATATTTCATCAAAATAACGAAATCCGGATTTTTCACTGAAATGCTGAATAAATCATATTTTAATTAAACGGTGGAATCTCAGTACACGAATGCAAAATATTATTAATATTGTAACACGACAAAATCTATAATTATTTTTATAGTAATTTTTAATGCTCTATTAACTTTCAAATTTTATGTTTACAAATTTTACGTGAAAAAGTAGAAAAAAAACATGAAATTTTATTATCGTATTTGATGTAATATATACACAATTTTTGAATTTTATATTTCGTTAAAATATAACATACATCATACAGGTAGGAGATATAAAACTCTATAATTTTTATGCAAGATGGAAATACCCTAATAATCTCAAGATGGTTTATGCTTTTTTTTATTAATTCCGATCACGAAAAATTCGAGTATTTTACCAGCGGAAATTTTTGGTAGTAATCACTTTGGAGTACCATCGATGGCAACAACAACGTTAATTCATATCGACAAGAAATTTCAAGTACGATATTGTCTCTGATCAATATTGTTTGTAATAACCTCTTGTGACAAGATTTATTCTCTCTTATGATCAAGTATTTTTTCAATCTACACAAAAAATTATTGTTTTAAGCATTTATCAGTATCGCTTGTTATTGTAAGTTAATTAAAATAATTTCATTAAAATAACATATATAAATTCTCTTCTGCTTTCTTTGCGAGGACGATGCTAAATAGAGAGTAATGTATATATGTCATAATGCAAATTATATCTTGTAATTAATATTAAACAGAAGTTCTGTGTAATATAAATTAAGTAAAGAGACAATATTCAAATAATATAATAATATTTTGATAACTGATTGATTTGCATTGCGATCAATTAGAATACAGAATTAGGTCAAATCATATATTTTCTTTTATACCGTGAAAACGTGGATAAAAAAAATGCAAAATAAGATTTTATATTCAGATGTAATTAAAAATGAAATGCAGCTCTGACCTTTAAGATTCAAAATATTCATACATCGATAAATTGGATAAATTTAGATTTGCATATTTATAATTATTCATTATTTGAGAATATTTTTCGTTTTTCCGACCTAGCGAAATCCAAAGTAAAAATTGCGCTTCCTTCTGTGAACGAAGGTCGACGTAAGCAGCGAATATCACCGTAAACATATTCGCTTATGTTTTAAAAATCAACTTGAGAGCGCATGTATCTACTAACAAAGTATTCTACTAAACATCGAGAGTTTTGAGAGAGAGAGAGAGAGGGAGCTTTCAATTCAAATAAAAATAAAAACGAGGTGCTCTCGAGAGAAATTTTTCCGCCAAAGTTCGGCGATGCGCGCAGAAACGAGCGAATGATTAGAGTTCTCTCCTCTCGAGCGAGAGAGGGCAAATGAGGGCACACACAAGGGGAAGAATTTCCGGTTGAATATCCGCCGGAATTCGCCAGGTTTGGCGCCGGTAAACGCTCGGGCCGAACCATCGTAATTGCCGTGACTAAGTTATTCACTTAAGCTACTCTCGAGCGACGCGAACCCGGGTTATGCGTTATCGTCGCGATAGCGGCTGCATTAATCTCAGAACCTGGGGGACGATGCTTCTCTCGTCGTTCTTCGTAGTCCTTCGTCGACCCAGCAGCCGTAGAGAAATTGCTTTTAATCTTTGATTATAGCCGGTTTTATATACAATAGAATCTCCCTCACTCCTGCAACAATTTTCGGAGGGATTTATTATAAATGCGAGGGAATTTATTATAAATACGGTATCGAATTTTCCAATTTGTGAGAAAATATGCCTTACATTTTTCTATAGCGTCTTTTGACGCAATTTTTATTTAATTAAATTCTCTGAGAAAGATAATTGATTATATTTGACAATTATATTTTTGAAAAATTGTATCTTAATTTTAATTTTATTTTAATTTTATCTAAATTTTATCTTATTTTATTTTAATTTTAAAACAACAATTGATTCACAGAATATTTTAATTAATCATAGTCCAAAGAAAAACTTTTGCTTTACAACGCTACGGGAAAAATTGTCATTAATTTGTTGACATGACACGTGTCGTATACAGACTTGATTTTATAAATCGAATAAAATGGTTCTTACCTTTAACATTGTTGTAATTTATGTTCTCAGTAAGCCAGGCCAAGCATCAGCAGAACTCAAGTGCCAATAATGCAATCGCCCCATCGAATCTCGCGGAGGGTAAAAATGAAGATGTTCTTGAAGGACCAGTTGGAGAAGTGCTCGCTCAAAGTGGTGGCACGGCAGTTTTGCCGTGTAAAATCACCGATCCTGGAGCTGGAACCGTAAGTATCTCACATTGTAGTTCATTAAACTTTTGGAGTGCCACACTGTTTACACGTGTCAATTGTCTTTTCGATTAACGATATTAAACACTATTTATGATTACATATAAAATAATTTTATAATTATTCTGTATTATCTATATTAATATTAAATAGAAAGACAGTTTTACTACTCGCTTTGTATTCCTGTCGTATTACTCATATATTAATATTATAAATGTTTAAAATAATTTGTATTGTACTTTATTCTAGCATACAGTTCGAAAGACAATATATGAATATTACGATACACATAAAACAATTTATTTATCTGTATTATCTATATTAAAAAATAGAAAGACAGTTTTACTACTCGCTTTGTATTCCTGTCGTATTACTCATATATTAATATTATAAATGTTTAAAATAATTTGTATTGTACTTTATTCTAGCATACAGTTCGAAAGACAATATATGAATATTACGATACACATAAAACAATTTATTTATCTGTATTATCTATATTAAAAAATAGAAAGACAGTTTTACTACTCGCTTTGTATTCCTGTCGTATTACTCATATATTAATATTATAAATGTTTAAAATAATTTGCATTGTACTTTATTCTAGCATACAGTTCGAAAGACAATATATGAATATTATGATACACATAAAACAATTTATTTATCTATATTATCTATATTAAAAAATAGAAAGACAGTTTTACTACTCGCTTTGTATTCCTGTCGTATTACTCATATATTAATATTATAAATGTTTAAAATAATTTGCATTGTACTTTATTCTACAGCATACAGTTCGAAAGACAATATATGAATGAAGAATATGACTTACAAACGCAATTATCAATATCACATATGTTGTATAATACATTATAACAGAAGGATTAAAATTCTTGTGTCTGTATGTTGCGTATAAATGCGCTACTATAAAGAACAGACATTATTCATACGGAATCTTTGATGCTTCGTAATATCAATTAAAATACAGGAGTGAATAATTTTAGACACTAGGGGAAAATTATTTCTCTGGACGCGCCCATGTATTGAAATATTAATAGCATTTCTCTCTTTAGTCCCACTTGATTCTTCTCTCGTACCGTTTCTCTGTTCATTTCAATGCCGTTTGACTTTTTTCCATTCACACCAGATTTTCCAGATTTTCATTTCCGTTAAACGGACTGGTTCGAGCGATTTTCATTTAATTTCCGTTTCCTATCATGCACATGCCACGCGCGAGTGATCCATAAAGAAAGGAATATGTGCGCTGTTTCTAATATGGTTGGCTTTCGTGTTCTCTAGCGTTGAAGCGGCCATTCAAATGGAAAACGTTGAATGACAAGCGGGGATCAGATTTGAAATATCAAGGAAATTTCTTTTGCCATCACGTCAGCCCATATCTTTAAAGATTTGAAGTTATAAATTTTCTTTGTAATGTGAGTTTATTTCTCTCGACATCGCATGCGCCAATGATATATTCTCGGACGCGCGTTTTATCTTCATCTCACTTGTGCTTCGTATGAAAAAATAAATTACACAACGCGCTAAGACAACGACATGCGTGACTAATTTCAGCGTCGAGCGATGATGACGTTGATATATTTTCCTACACGTCCGCAGATGTTCTATTCAATGAAGAATTACATAATCTTTGTCTTTTTTTCTGTCAAAAAGAAAACAGGGGATTATTCTTACTAAAGAACTGAAATATGAAATCAAATGATTGAAGTTTTAATTTTAACGCAAAAATTGCTTCTTTTATAGAAACATCAGATGTCATTTTCTTATGCTTACTGCAACAAAAAATGTATAATTTCACATTGCAAGTTATGTATTGTCTTCATCGTGTTTTTTTATCTTGAAAAATAGAAATGATAAAAAAATTAATAAATTATTCATTTTATGAACGAAAGAACAATAGGACGAAAATTGAATTGGGCAGAGGTATCAACAAATTCGGAGCATAAATAAGAACATAAAATGAGATGTAAAAGGGAAAGGAATGGGAATCAACGAACGATCGGTCATCTCGCCCGATTAAGCCCGGATTTTAATAACTGTTTGTAAAGCCCGGTGTTTCCGATTTGTCGAGTTTGCGATTGGAAGTGCAAACAGATGCTTCGTCTCTTACGAGGATATAGATCCCTGCGTAAACCGTGCAAACATACGCGCTCTGAATACCTTCGCACGCGATATTGAAAGCGGGAATGAACGCGATGCGTCACACACAAACACACACTAGGAGATACAAATGATAGATCGATATAGTATTTTTGCACACGGGGATTGCACACACAGGTTGTTTGTTTTTCTCTTTTTTTTTTTTTTTTTTTTTTTTTTGCGGCCCTCGCTATATACGTACTTTAATGCTATAGCCTTCGGTCCAGCAAATTGCCCCAGTTTACGATCCGCGATGGCGCACGCTCATCCGCGATATGCCGTTATGCTTTTTGTCTTACTTATCAGCGCAGCAACCCCATCCTACTCCGGAATGGACGCGCGTGGAAAATTAACCGACAATCTGCGTAAACAACGAACGCGTCTACATTCGAGTGCCGTCCCGAACTATTTCCGTATCGTCGATTTTTATCGCCGAACGTAAAAAGCTGATTGCGAGAAAGATCAATGCATATACAACGTTGCGTGCGCAAGTTGGAATTTCACCCTCAGTGGAGGGTTATGACTTTCTCTCTCTCTCTCTTTCTCCCTCGCTACATCTTTCACGCTATAACTCGGTTCTTTTTCTCTCGTCGGAAAAATCCAAGATTATATACCCTGCATCGCACCAATCGATTCGTATATTCCGAATATGTATATATATATATATGTCTTTTTGCGCACAACGTCGTTGAAGACCAGATGCCCATTACGCATCCTCCTTCCGCGAGAGAATGTCGAAGTTCTCTTGGGGAATATTTTAGAATATTTTAGCGAGTTTCAGCGTTAAACTGACGCGCCAGATGCCGCGTGACTGTATACTTTTTCTTTTCCCCGGGAAAAGCGGAGTAGGAAGCGAAAGGGCAATCCGTATATGCGCGCTATCGCGAGATGGCGAAAACATTCTTTCTCTCTCGCTCTCTCGATACTCTCTATGGAATATATATATATATATACTTGAGAAATCGGAATGGAATTCCGAGAGTCGACAGATTCTCTTCGGGCGACAGGCAATACACGTTTCCATGAAATTCCGACCTACGGGTTTCTCATACCGACGTGAATGAGACGTAAGCCGACTTTAAATGCGCCTTTTCTGACATTCTGGAGCCTCTACTCTGGTCTGGTGTCGTTTGAACACGCGGCACTTCGGCTGTCATATCTGGATTTTTTTTCGCACAAAGACATATTAGAAAAATTATATACGCCACTATCTCGTATTAAAATTACGGATGTTTGGATTAAGTATCGTTGTTGCAAATACACTCGCGGCACTTCAGCTGTCATATCTGGATTTTTTTTTACACAAAGACATATTAGAAAAATTATATACGCCACTATCTCGTATTAAAATTACGGATGTTTGGATTAAGTATCGTTGTTGCAAATACACGTATATATATTCTTTATTTTACTAAAATAGAAATATACGTGAAATAAAATGCCTCCTCTGCATTATAATTCCTTTGGGGTTTTCCGCATTTATAAACATATATAATCCCCTTGAATTCTCTCGCGCGCGACATTTTTCTTCAGTTTTTAATAAATTACGTTTCTGTAGCGTCGGGTAAGAAGAACAGATGCCGCCGCTTTGACATAAATCGTAATCGCGTTTCAATAATCGTTCAAGAAACAAATCGATACACCAGACTCGACGCTAAAGTCCGCGATTGCTGGAAAAACGGATGCGAATACTTCGAAACGCCTTCGCGGGAAAGCGCGGCATGTTTATGCGAACATCAACGGAGAAAGGTTTACCTCTCTACATTTGATTTCTGGATTTTACAGCTCCGCTGGGCACATAGAGTTCGGGGCTGTAATTTACTTACGACGGGACTATTTCACGTCTCTATACTCACTTTACGCATCGAGCGGAGAATCCCTACAGATATATAAGGAAAGATTCGCTTTTATTTTCAACGCTTTTATTTTCCCTTCACAGGACTTTCATTTTAATAAGATTATTGCTTTCGGTGGAATCAATTTTTCTCGTTCCCTCTTGCTCGGTTACACAAAACAAGTTGTATCTCTCGATTGGAATCTACTTTAATTAAAATATCGGTGTTATAAATCAAAGTTTTAAATGATATTTGATTCAATGATATTTACTCTCGATTGCTTATTATTTCTCTCCCCTATGTGAATTTAATATGTAGATTCTCTCACACACATTTCCGTATCTTGACGTATTTATTTATATTTGTGCACACATATAAATTTATTAATAAATAAAATAACAAAATTTAATATTATTAAAAATAAATATAAACGTATAACAATGTATGAAGAATTTGTCGATAAAAATATATAGAAATTAAAAATAGAGAAAAATAAAAATATATATACTTTACATATAAGCTCCTTTAAATTTTCAATTCCGGAAGAATTAAATTAAAAAGTCGGGATACATCCCTCGAGTGTTGTGGAGAGGAATCGATAGCTTTTTCATTTATTTTTCCTCGCCGCTCGGTATCGAATGATTGTTCGCTGGCGAAATTTTTGTTCTGGACGATACGAAAGTTGCAAAATCTAAGGCCACTTATGCAAAACTGTCTGTCACGAACCGCATATAACCTCGGCGGATCCCGCACCGTCGCTGACTATGAATAAAAGATGAATTCATGCGCGTCTTGTGTACTACACAGAAATACAGAAACAAGAAACAAGGCCTCCGCCTTAGGCTTCTTCTTTGCTGCGGCCGAGGCAAAAACAAGTAAAAAAGTGCAGCTCGGTTACCGAGGGAAGAGTAAAAAGGGTAGGAAACGAAGAGGGAGGGCAAAGCGCATTACGTATCTTGTCTAAGGTAACTGCTACCACACGGAAATTTATTCTTTTTATGATGA